ACTTTACCGTTAAGCAAGTTAATTTACCATTATTCTAGTAAAGTTAAGTCACTTAAGTGACTTAATTCCTTTATCTAGCTATAATTGAGTGGTTATCACGTCGAACTTTTAACTAGTTAAGTGGTTGTATATCTAGATAAAAGTTCGACGTGAACCATGCTAACGACACCAATTACAACGAATCATAATACTCAGTCTCTCTGTCGTTCTCCACTCCCCACATGGGATGATCATCACAATTTCAAGGCTGACCGCCTAACAGTGAGATATATTCATACGCCTCCCTAACCCCGATGGGCAGAAGTGCAAATTCAGTTCAGCATCAAATGTCAGTAGAATAGTCGAGAAAAATATGAAAAAATATGAAATGTTGGTGTGTATATAAAATGAATCGGTAATGTCTGTATTTACATACTCCTGTGTTCCTCCACTGAGAATAACACAGGAATCAATAATAATAATAATAATTGTAATTGAATAAATTTAATATATCGCTTCCTAATATGTCTACAACTCAAAACTGCTTTTTATTGCTGTCTTTTTACTGTATATATATATATATATATATGAGAAATAACTTTGGCCATGTTCGTCATAGTGAAGTATGTTTTAAACTTTAGCTAATGCAAAATTGAATTATTTTTATTCAACAACCGTATGCACATAGTCGAGCAAATCTTGGAGTTCCCCGGTCAATCCTGGGGATGACTATCATACTGGATTTCAGATTCAGCAACCATTTTCTTAACTTTGATTGTGGCTCCGAATGCCCTAAATTAACGCTCACATCTGAACAAACTAGATGTTATGTTAATGTTATATGACTTGTTCTTAGCTATTACAATTCTCTCTCTCTTCATCAAGGTATTGATATTTCAAAAGATATGATCGACGTTGCCAGACAAAAGTATCAACGCTCAAACTTGACGTATGAAGTTGCAGACGCTAAAAACTTCGCCGAAAATTTTCCCAAGTGGAATGGTACATTTGATAAAGTTGTTTCAGTCCATGCTTTACACTGGGTAGAGGATAAAGTTAGTGCAATGCGCAACATTTACGATTGCCTAACAATAGGCGGGGAGTGTTTTCTCTTGTTCTGTGGACCGTTGCATCAAATGCTAGGCCAAAACCAAGATGAACTTCCTTATTTTTTGAAACATCACAGTAAATGGAACAAATACCTTGAGGTTTGTAAATGATTTACTACAATTCTAAATACCTACTTAACATACTTAACTAATTAAACTAATTAACATGTGTTACTGTTTGTTAAAATCATAGTCCTATTTACTTTATAGGGTTACGTTCATAGAATGTACAATCAGTTCGACCTGGATGACACCCGGAAATTGTTGGAATCTGTAGGTTTTGAAGTGCTTAGTGGAACGTCAAATACGCCATGTGATAATCTCGAAATTTCAGGTCAAGATGAAATAAAAGGTATTATAACATTGCTCTAAGTTGCTGCTTTTTCTACGGCATAGATTGCTACAAATTTATTTAATTATTCAATATAGGTATATATTATACATAACAAACCCTTTTTACAGAATATATTTTTTCGAACGTCCAATACAAAAACTTAATATCGAAAGAAAATAAATTCAAGCAAATTCATGTTTTTTTGTTTTTGTTTTTTCTTTTTCTAGAATACCTGCGTACACTCCTTGGGCACCTAGTATATTTGCCAGGGCAGTATCACACAGAGTTTCTTCAAGATGCGAGCGACTGGTGTACACAAAACTTTGCAGTTAATCAACTAGGAAACATGTACTGTAAAGTGACAATAATTGTCGTTCATGCTATTAAAAATTGAAGCATTTATATTATGCAAGTCTCTCTCTAATTAAGGCACCCTCCATATAAATACAACTTTTTTTGTGGCTCTATGTTCAAAACCAAAGCTCATAAACACCGTTGAAATCCCTGTCACAAAAGTGGGCTTGGATGGACACCTGTAAGTAACTTTATTGCTTCTCTTTTATAACAGAGGCACAGCCGTAAAGACGTGCAACAATAACAAAATCAGTAAAAACTTAATTACTGTGATAAAATGTAGTAAGAAAATACTGCGGTAGAACGAAATATAAATAAAAAAAGGGTTTACAAAAATAGTAATAGAGATAAAAATAAATACTAATACTAATAATATAAGTAAGTTGGTTAATACATCACTTATACACACATACATATACACATACACACAAACATATATATACACATATATATATACACATATACATATATATATATATATACAGTATACATATACATTTATATATATATATATATATATGTATACACACACACATACACATGCTTACATATACATACATACATACATACACACACAATACATACATGCATAGACGCACACATATACACACACCCCTCCCACACACATATTCACACATACATACATACATGTACACATACATACACAAACACATACATATACATATATACATATAACAGAGTAAATATTGTAAATTAAATTATTCAATAACATTAAAACCAGACATATTAGTCTTGCAATAGAAAAGTATTATATATATCATTTCGTTCTTTCCATGCCATCGTTAAAAGTAATTTACAATAATTATCTAAAACTTTACTCGCAATAGTTTAATTAATAGGGTTTATATAATTTGTTGTTAAAATTTGATATTCGTAATGGATTTCTAAATCATCAAACAAAAGATGGTATTTAAGTTCAGGGGAGCTTGATGTGAATAATTCCTAAAATATATGTAAATCCTTTTTGTATAACTCCTCTTTAAGTTGGTCAAATATTAAAGTTCTAATGTTCTCTAATCTGGTACAATCAAATACAAAATGATTGATGGTTTCCTTTGTCACGCAGTCACATAATAAGCATAAGCCTACATTTTGAGTCGACCAGGATTCCTTTCTTCCTTCAAGAGGTAGTGAGTTAGAACGAGCTTTAAATTTTAAACTTGAAGCATGAAAGTTACACTTTTCTAATAAATACTTTTCCATTTTAGGTTCACTTTTGTATCTTATGTAATGTTTTAAGGATGATTTACTTAAATCATTGTTATACCAACTTATGTTATCTTTTTTAATATTTTTTTCTTTGAAGCCATTAAGCCATTTTGTACAATAGTCAATGTTAAAGAACATTTGTAGATCAAATTTATTTAAAATGTATTCAATATTTTGAAGCCATTTCCAACTCAGTTTTTCTTTAAGCGTAAAGAGAGCCCTAAATAATAATCTTGGCCAGCGGTGTTCTTCCATAATTTTAGTCTATAAAAGTAAGTTAATAATCTTTCTGATTGAATAGATTCAATTGTTTGCCAGCCAAGTTCACCATATAAGGCTTCCTTTGCGACATATCTGGGTGCTTTTAATAGGTATCTGGCCATTTGATATTGTAAATTTTCAATTTTGTCAATAGATGTTTTGTTATTGCAAAACCATATACTGCTTGCATAATTTATAGTTGGTATTCCAATCGCTTTCCAAAGAATATCCCCATAATATATTCTGTTAAAATCTTCCTGTCCATTAATAATAGATTTTATATACGATATTACTCTATTTCCCTTTTTAACTATTTCATCTATGTGACAGGTATCTTTTATTTTTCTAGATATAAACATTCCCAAATATTTATAATTATTAGCTTCATTAATGAAATTATTACCAATTGGCCATTTCCTATATATATTAAAGCGTTGCCCAGTTACAATGACATTGGACTTATCAAAATTAAAAATCATTTTCCATTTTGTAGCAAAATTATTTGCCGCATTCAAAAGTAATTCTAAATCTTGCTCACTATCTCCAATTAAAATAATATCGTCTGCCCAGAATAAACTGCCGATTTTTACATCAAAAATATTTATACCTAAACCTCTTTCCTTAATAATTTTATTGAGCTCATTAATGTATATGGTGAATAGAATTGGAGATAGTGGGCAACCTTGTTTTACACTTTCGTCAATATTAAAAACATCTGTTTCATGGTCACCAAATGAAACCTTTCCTTTTACATCATCTTTATATAAGTTTTTAATAATGTTCAATAGTTTACCTTTAATGCCTATATTGTTTAATGCATAAAAAGAGACCTTCTTTCCAAACGGTGTCAAAAGCCTTCCTAAAGTCCATAAAAGCAAGGTATGTTTTTTTATTTTCCGCTTGTCTACAAGCAATAATACTCTTAAGTATAAAAATGTGATCTTCACACCTTCTGTCTTTGCGGAATCCCCCTTGTACCTCTGATAGTAAATCATTTTCTTCAAGAAAGTTTGACACAGTTTGGGAGATAAGTTTATTATATACCTTTGAAACTGAAGAGTTTAGAGTTATACCCCTGTAGTTATTTAAATCTCTACAGTCACTTTTTTATATATTGGAATGATTTTTCCAATACTCTATTCATTGGGTATTGTTTCCAAGATTGATAATCTTTTAAATAATTTATATAAGGAAAATATAATTTCATCACTGCCATTTTCATTATTTCGTTTGTAATACAATCTAAACCAGGGCTCTTGTTAGTTTTACAGTTAAGTACAACATTTTTTATATCTTCACAGGAAAATATAAAGTCTTCTATTATAGGTGCATTTATGTTAATATTAGAGTTAGTACTAAATTATGAATCATTGTAACTAAAATTCTCACTAGTGTTACATGTATAATTGCTAATACTACTAAAGTAGGATTTCAATGTATTTCTAATTGTATTTTTATCTGATACAGTATTATTTGTGCCGGGAATAAAGATAGAATTAGTACAGTTAGTTTTAGTAAAAGGTTTTCCTTTTAATTCTGACCAGAAATCTTTGCATTGGGCCCCTCCTCTATTCATAATTTCAGAGCATTTATCTACTTTCTTTTGTAAGATCTTTTGTTTAATTAAGGCTTTGCATTGTTTACGTATCTCTTGATAATCTTTCCACAATGAGTCACATTCTTCTTGATTGTAAGACTCACTACCCTGTAATTTACAATATTGTCGATGTAATCTACAAGCATCCTTTCTCTTACCAATACAATATTCAATTTCTTCATCATACCATGTTTTGCATTTTCTATCGTTGTTTTTGTGACCTATCGAATTTTCAGCGGAAGCAATAACGTTGTTTTTCCAAAATTCCCATACTTCATTGGCATTTAAGGAAGAGGGATCCCAGTTTTTAAACTTGTATTCAATTTCTTTCTGAAATGGTGCCCAATCGGTGTCTTTATTTATGTTCCAAGTTATTTTATTAATAGTATTTTTTTCTTGCTTATTAATATTACTTTTTGTTTCTAATTTATTGTATACTAATTCTAATAACATCATGTTATGATCACTTCCAAGGTGATATATACACAATTCATCAATAATAAGTTCATTAGTGATGCTATATACACTTTGAGAAACTAGTATGAAATCCAGTATGTAATCTAATATTGTACTAGCGTTATATGACCTTTATTATTTGCTTCATTTTCGAGGTCGTCATGTATTCAATTCAATTCAATGTAACATTTATTTCTCTTTTTTCATATATGTACAGCTTTTAAAGAAGACAAATATCAATTTACATTGTTTTTTCATGTCGCGTCTATTTTTAAATCTTAGTATGTTGTCATTCACTGTAGGTTTTGATGTGTTAAATTGAATTGTGGTATGACTTTTATTCTCTGCTTCATTTTCGAGGTCGTCATGTATTCAATTCAATTCACGTAACTTTTATTTCTCTTTCTTCATAATGATACAGCTATTAAAGAAAAGATTAATATTAATTTACATTGTTCTTTCATGTCGCGTTTATTTTTAAATCTTAGTATGTTGTCATTTATTCACTGTAAGTTTTGATGTGTTAAATTGAATTACGATGCTTTTTAATGTCCTTTTAACTTCTAATTGTTATTATATAGTGCGTATCGATTTCTTGTAAATTTCTGTATTTTATATTGGGGACGTACTGAGTATTCGGTACGATATCACGTCAGGTAGGGCAAAACATCACTCCTATGATTATTTCCTGACGCAACTTCATATTTTTGTAGCACTTGCAGTATCCGCTGCTACTAGGGATCGGATTCATCACTCGTCACCAAACGCAAGCTCGGTGGTCTAGTGGTTAAGACATCAGGCTAGATACCTGGAGGTCGTGGGTTCGATTCCCACCCGAATCACTTGCGCATTTTTTTCGCTAGTATTTGGGGACGTACTGAGTATTCGGTACGATATCACGTCAGGTAGGGCAAAACATCACTCCTATGATTATTTCCTGACGCAACTTCATGTCTTTAAAGCACTTGCAGTACCCGCTGCTACTAGGGGATCGGATTCATCACTCGTCACCAAGCGGAAGCTCGGTGGTCTAGTGGTTAAGACATCAGGCTAGATACCTGGAGGTCGTGGGTTCGATTCCCACCCGAGTCACTTGTGAATTTTTTTCGCTAGTATTTGGGGACTTACGAGTATTCGGTACGATATCACGTCAGGTAGGGCAAAACATCACTCCTATGATTATTTCCTGACGCAACTTCATATCTTTATAGCACTTGCAGTACCCGCTGCTACTAGGGGATCGGATTCATCACTCGTCACCAAGCGCAAGCTCGGTGGTCTAGTGATTGAGACATCAAGCTAGATACCTTGAGGTCGTGGGTTCGATTCCCACCCGAATCACTTGCGAATTTGTTTCGCTAGTATTTGGGGACGTACTGAGTATTCGGTACGATATCACGTCAGGTAGGGCAAAGCATCACTTCTGTATTTGAAATATGTATATCGATCGCCTGTGAAAATTTGTAATGGATATTGTTTGTGCTTTATTAAATAAACTTGTTATCACTTTATTATCATTATTGTTATTATTATTATTATTATTATTATTATTATTATTATTATACATAAGTTGGCTAATTACAATAAACTACTTCATAATTATTTCACAGATAGCGTGTATGGGATATGATGTTAATAAAACATAGGACAGCATGTCACCTCCCTTTTTAGCCTATTTCGTTCGACATATGTACGTAGGCCTCTACATCATGCCTTTGTCAATAATGTGATTTTTTTTGCATTCAATTGATGCTATCAA